ACTGCTAACTCGAAGGTTAAAAACTAGTGACTCAAGGACCAAAGAAGAAACAAACTGGTAACTCGAAGGTTGGAAACTCTTGAATCAAGGACCAAAGAGGAAACAAACTAAAAACTCAAGGGTTGTAAACTCGCGACTCAAGGATCGGAGAAGAAACAAACTGATAACTCCAAGGTTGGAAACTTGCGAATCAAGGATCAGAGAAGAAACAAAACTGACAACTCGAAGGTTGGAAACTCACGAATCAAGGATTGGGGAAGAAACAAACTGACAAGTTAAATATTGGAAACCTGCGGATCAAGGATCAGAGAAGAAAAAAATGACAACTCGAGGGTTGGAAACTCGTGACTCAAATATCGGAGAAGAAACAAATCCCACATGCGTAAGGCAGTGAAGGGACTTACAAAAGGTAAACAATAATCGAAATTGGTTATCTTCACAAAGAAAAAGAACTACATTATCCCACAGGACGAAGCGAGGTGTAATTCTTCAAGAGTGTCAATTATCTGAATTGCCACACATAAAGTATGGATACTCAAACAATTAAAAATAAAGATAGGTTATACTCTAACTCCGACCCGCACTCTAACTGCAAAGGCGAACACGGGTACAAATACTGCAACAAGGTTTTTAAAAAATCAAGATGCTTGATATATGAATCATATTGTTGAGAAACTAGAACGAGGTCAAGAATACTTAAGATAGCAACAACAAGAACATATGATGAGGAAATCCTATAGGGAATACCACTTGAGATATATAAGGGATAGGGTTCTCTTCGGAGAGGTTCCACAACATAGCTGGGGAAGAAAGGGTGCTTGAGGAAGACTTAAATCTGGCTTATGCTTCAATGCATGTTTGAGATTTTGTAACATAATGCTCCATATCAATGTAAATGCTACACACTTTTGATTAATGCAATGCAATGAAATGCAATGCAATGCAAATATGATTACTATATGCAAGATGCCGAAGTGAGGATATATGTTGGGAACTCAAAGGATAGAATCCTGTCTTCTGGCTTCTGCTGAAGAAAACCAATAACCAGCAATTAAATCCTGATCTGAGCTGAGGATAAAAATCCTGATTTTAGTTGGAGATGATGATACTTGACTTTTGTCGAAGAATGCCAACAACCCGAACTTAGGTCTCTAGTTTTTGATGGAGGAACGCCAATACATAGACTTAAATCCATAACAAACTGAGGATAATATTCCTGACTTTCCGACATGCTCTTCAAATTCGCAAGTTATTTAGCTCGCGCCTGGACTTAACCTGATCAACTCTGAAGCAGGGTAATGCCCCTGTATAGTGCCTTGCCCTAGTTTGTAGGGCCTCTGAATAAACTTGTCTCGAGAGGACTTTTTGAGATTTGTACCATAAAGATAAACTGCCCCAATGTTATGAACCTTGGAACACTGCCCCTGACCAACCAGTGTTAGAAGCGGTTTCAACCATGCTTGAGTGAGTGCCCCTGATTACTCAGCACTCTGAGAGATTCTTAGAATCTTGACATAACTGCCCCATATTGACTGAACTCTTACTCCACATAGTATTAACACATTTCTCTTCCCCTTAGGGTGATCAAATTCTGAAGCACTTTTACCTTTGTTCAAATAGAGTACTAACATTAGAATATCTTTCCCCTTCTCTTATGCTCACGAAGGAATGAGAAAATCAAGGAGTTTGGAAGACAACACCTCCTTAGGGTAATTTACTTACATCTTGAAAGTAGGCTACATCACAATCCGTACTTCTCAGTTTGAACTGCTTCCTATGTCCCTTAGGACCAACTGAAAGTAGTATTCCCTTGATCAACGAATACCTCTAAGTGATCACACTTTTTCAATCATCAAGATTTCCAAAAAAATCCGCTTCTGATCATTTCACAAACAAGTCTTCTTTTACTCAACGAAGCTACTAGAAGGTCTGCCCAAAATTAAGATCATTCTTTATAATGATTTTCTCTTCAACACATTTCTGAAGCAATTTGTCTCTCGGGATGTCGTAACAACGAATTTTCTTGTATGAAAGATGTCGTAACAACGAATTTTCTTGTATGAAAGAAATTAAAAGATGGTGTGATACCAACTCAAATGTTTTATCACGCCTCTTAGGAGTTAGATTATCATACTCTAGTTACAATATGCTTTCGAATTAACCCATGCTTCAGTTAAGACTTGCAATCTGTTTCATTGTGAAATTTTCAGGTAATTTGCACTTTCAGAGATCTTCTTCACATAATTGGCTTCCGACTCGAACATATGAAATGGATAGGATTTCAAGACGGTTCCAACGCCCAAAGACACATTAAAAAATAATTTTTTGGGCAGAAGTTGTTATACTACGAAATGGTGATTTTCAGCCGAAAATGTCTCAAATCAACTGAAACACTTGTTTTTAATTGCAATTAAAGGCATGATGGAACACCTGATATCTTGGAATGCTGATGAATTGATAAGTCACTAATTGAATAGATCGGAGAAATATGCGGATTGCACTTGAATTCCTAAATCCCTGAGTTTTTGCTTTGCTGTACTGCCTGACGGAACAATTGTTTTTGTAGCTCGACGAAGATAAATGCCTTTACCCCATAACCATGGAATCAATGATAAGTATGCCTGAGTATGTTAGAGAAAAGTAATCCAATTAGGGTTAAACTGAAGATGGTGAATTTTGGGGTGCAAAACAACTGTCGGGTTATCTCTCACTTATACATCATCCACTTGGATCACATGAGAAAGATCTAGAATGTATCTCCTCAACTGAGACACACAAAACACATCATGATGATAGAAAACGACGGTGGTAAAGAAATATGATAGGACACCTCACATATCCTCTGCATAATCTGGTATGGACCAACAAAATATATATTGTGAGCTTTTGAGACTTCAAATCTCGACCTATACCGGTGTGACTCTCAAAAACACAAGATTGTTAGGGTCCAAATAATGTTAATATTTAGTATAAATTAGTGGTGACTTTTAACTCAATTCACTGCATATTCATGTTAAAACCTCAACTTTAGCGTAAACAATAGTTTTATAGTTTTATCATGTAAATATTATATAGATTAATCATATTTATCTTATTTTGTAGGATCCTTCCCATTGTTGAAGCATTGGGCATTAATCCGCACAAATAAAGCTTCAAGTGCATTTTTGGATGGAAATAAAGAGCGGAAGGTCAAGCTAAGCGTGGTCCTAGCATTCTAGCAATTTCGAGGACGGGAGTGACCATGTTAAGCGTCGGTTTCCCGCATTTAGCATGGTTAGGGAAGTTTGGTGTGTAATAAGTGGAAGTGTGCTTAGCGTGCTCTAACGGGGCTAAGTGCAGTCTGCGATTTCAGATGTTTGTAAATAGAATTCATAACACTTTTTTAGGGAATCCACCATTTTTTAGAGGTGTGATCACCATTATTTGAGTAGAGAGGCTTAATAAAAACATTAGAGGTTGCATCTTGATGATTTGGAGTTGGATTTGAATCAATCGTCTTGACATCGCGAAAGTTGTCGGTTCATATTCATTCTTCTCTTTGTATTATTTATTGTTGGATTTTTTTATAAGTTTACTCTGATTTTATGAATATGTATTGATCATGACATTGTATAATATCTATTTTACAAATCTGTATTAATGTTATCTTTGTATTACCTTTTATCTTAATGGGTTCGAGTTGCTATAGACATATACAATTCAAAACTCGAACTAAGATAAACATCTTCTATTTTCTAAACTCTAGACATAGATTTAGGCTAACATTCACATAGGGTATCAGTTCTTAATGCGTTGTGTTCTTAAGTTGCGTGAGACATCACCGATGAGATAATACGGTCGAACACTCGTAGGTGCTTCATACATGAACGCTGATGTGATGGATACATAATGATATTGACTAGTGTTTTAGGTTGCATACAACTGATCAATAGATTTAAGTATTTAATGGGTATATGAAATTCAATCTTGACGAGTTCTATCCTCTCTAAAGAATGGATTACTTACTTGTTCATATGTTTACTTTATGCATTTTACACTTTTAAATCATTTAAGACCAAGCTAAGAAACTTGGAGATTATTGAATACCATTTGACCCCTCACACTAATCCTTGTGGAGACGATAAAATAAAATACTTACTATTTCTTGTTGCTTTTTTAGCGTAACAACAAAATGACACCATTTTGTACATATTATCTATATTGTGTTTACACCTATATATTTATACTTGTATATTTACTTGTCTATGTTTTTCATACTTGTTTTTTACATGTTTTCCATACTTGTATATAGTGTATATATTTGTTTTGTACATGTTTTATATACTTGTGTATATTGTATATATATTTTTGTTTCTCTTCACATTTGCTAAAGTGACTGGTTAGGAGTAGGCATTGGTGAAATACTAGCCAAGCAAAGAGGCAACATGAAGGAGCGTATATGCATAAATAAAGGCTTTGAGCTAAGGACATAAAACAAACTCTTATTGGGAGGCAACCCAATGTTTATAAGTTTTTATAGTTTTGAATTTAGTAGTATAAATTGTAAAAAGTGAGAGTGGATAGAATGATTTAGAATTTTGGCATTTTTGAAAATTCATGTTGCAGTTTTGCTCGCTTAGCACGCACTGCTGCACCTAGAAAAATTCTCAACTCCCTTATCCACTTTTGATCCATTTTGAACTTATGTTGTTAAGTGTTTATGTTAAGGTTACAAAGTCAAAAACATTTAAATCAAGAGATACTCTAGGATCAAGCATTCAAGATGAGAGTTATTGTAGGATTAAGCAATCAAATCAAATTATAACTAATTAGAGGAAATCAAGCAATAGCAGTAGGAAGCAATTATTATGACAGCAAACTTGTTTCTATATATTGTACCAATACACCTTGTGAATAATAATCAATATAACAATATTCTTTATATGGTATCAGCTGCCTCTTAGACTCAAAAGAGTGCACGATCCATCACGTCTACAGATTCCTCAAACACAGATTCTACCATGCCAGGCAACTCCTCAAACACAAACACAAATCCTATCAAACTTTCACCTCTAAAACATGGTGCCCAAATATCCATTAAACTTTTTGCGTCCAACTTTTTCGCTTGGCGCCGCCAAATCAATTCACTACTTGCTAGCATGAAATGCATAGGCTACATCACCGGCAAAGTCGAACCACAATCTGAGATGATCACCACCAATGGCATCTCAACAAACAATCCTTCCTATGAAGATTGGTTCGCTAATGATCAACTTATCGTTAGCTTTCTACTCGCTTCCATGAATGAACGCGATAGCATTGCCTTCTCTTCATGTGACACTGCTCATCAACTATGGCTGGCCATTGAAGCCAAGTATGCAAATCCATCACGAGCTCATGTGATGTCTCTCAAAAACCAACTGCAGAGAAGCCGTAAAGGCTCTCAAACTGTCACTGAATTTTTATTTCAGGTGAAAAGAATCGCTGATGAACTAGCAGTCTTGGATGCTACAATCCCAGATGACGACATCACTCTCTATGTACTCAACGGTCTTGGATCAGATTATCGTGACATCGCTGCTTCCATCCGAACTAGAGAACGCTCCTTCACCTTTGAAGAGTTACACAACCATCTCATTGCACATGAAGAATTCCTGCAGAAAGAAGATGCACCTGCAGATGTTACTGTCCCAACAACAAACTTCCATCAGCGAAATGAATCTCGGAATTTTCGTGGACGTAGTTCTTTTTGTTGAGGCGGTCGTCATGGATCGAATCAAAATATAAATCCTTTTCCATCAGATTCATTCCACCCGACGCAGTCATCCCCACGCCACCAAAATGCATCAAACAACCATAGTACAAATCGGCCTCTCTATCAAGGACCATCGAGGAACCAACACCATTTCAATCATCGAGCGAATCTCCCACCTCCACGCTGCCAATTATGTAACTTTCTTGGACATATAGCCAAATATTGCCCACAACTTATGCAATCCAGCCCTACTGCTAATTATGTTGCTGCAAATGCAAACTGGATCCTTGACAGTGGAGCCAATCATCACATCACTGCAGACTTGAACAACTTAAGTCTTCACTCAAACTACGAAGGCCCTGACTCGGTCACAATTGGAGACGGCTCAGGTTTAGCCATTACACACATGGGTTCAACTCATCTCTCTACTCCTTCTACTATTTTTAATCTTAACAATGTTTTATGTGTTCCAAAAGCAAGTCACAATTTAATTTCTGTTGCCAAATTCTGTCAACAAAACAATGTGTATGTTGAGTTTCACCTTTTCTCCTTTTTTGTGAAGGATCTCAAGACAGGGGCGACGTTAATGTGCGGTCCAACTAGTGGTGATCTCTACACCCTCCAACCCTCACTCCCCACTCCACCAACCAACCTTCACGCATCACGGTCCACTAACACCCTTTGGCATGCTCGACTAGGCCACCCCTCACCCAAGACACTTCATCAAGCTCTCAAGATATTTCTACCTTCCAGTTCTCATATTTCAAGTTCTACATGTAACTCATGCTTCTTGAATAAAAGTC